TTGTGGACTTCAACTCCCAGAATTCCTCAGCCAGCAAGCTGGCTGAGGAATTCTGGGAGTTGAAGTCCACAAGTCTTAAAGTGGCCAAGGTTGGAGACCCCTGTGCTAAACGGAAACAGGAATGCTTAACTCAAGGGAAATTATGGGCCAAGGCTGAAGCGGGGTAAAATCGGCATCAGAAAGGGAAGGGAGCTTGGAGGTCATCTGCTCCAAATACCGTTCGGTGCACGTTTTGCTAAAGTATTTTGAACAGATGTTTAAAAGCTTCAAGTGAAGGTGACTATACCAGTTCAAGAGGCAACCTACTACAGTGTTTCTCAACCTTGGCTGCTTTCAGATGCCTGGACTTCAACTCCCAGAATTCCCTGGCCAGCAATTGTTGGCTGAGTAATTCTGGGAGTTGAAGTCCACCCAGACAAGGAATAATGGATGGAAACTGAACAAGGAGAGATTTAACCTGGAAATAAGGAGAAACTTTCTGACAGAACAATCAATCAATGGAACAGCTTTGCCCTCGGAAGTTGTGGGAGCACCATCACTTGAGACCTTCAAGAAGGGACTGGACTGCCATCTGTCAGAAATGTTGTAGGGTCTCCCACTTGGGCCGGTGGGTTGGACTAGATGACCTACAAGGTCCCTTCCAACTCTGATTATCTGTTATCTGAAAACTGCTAATGTTGAGGAACACTGATCTACTATATTCCATTGGTTGACAAGTCTTAAATCAGGAAAATCACCTTCATATCCAACCTGAATCTACTTCCCTACAGTCCCAACCTATGTTCTATTCCTGCCCTCTGTGGCCAGAGAAAACAAATCGAGTCCCTTCCTTATATGACAAGAACTCTTCAAATATCTCAAGACTGCTTTGCCACAGTATTCCATGCAAAGCCTATTTATTTCTGTGAACTGCACTTCTGTTCCTCTGTTAATACATCCCAAAATAGCATTTATCTTTTTGCAACTGCATTACACTGTTGGTTTAGGTTCAACCTGTGATCTGCTAGGACATCCAGATCTTTTACCAACCACAGCTGAAGAATCATAATGCTTTATTTAACATAAAGTTGCATCTTATTGGTAGTCTCTTGCTAATTATTCTAAGCTTTGATTGATATTTATACCCTAACATCGAAACCATAGCACATAGGACAAAAAGCTCCTAGAGAAACTATTCTAGACCATACAACCATTAGCCTTTTTTAAAGCAGACAGAGTAACTCCACAAAGCACCCATACAAAGTCTTTTTATTGGTTCATCAGGCATCCTCAAGATAACTCACGGTTATGTCGAGATTCATCTCAATGTCCAACTCTTTGCATAGCTGACTTTCTGGTGTAAAAGGATAGTTCTCCGTTCATTCCGATAATGGTGGAGCAAGGGGGTGAAGCAGCAGCATGATTCTGGGCTCAGGCAAGAGTGAAGGAACCTCCCCCAACCCACCAAGGGTCAATTCAGTGACCAATCAGGATTACAGATGTGGCCACATGACATGGACTACATTTCCCAGGATACCTTAACTACATTTACCGTGATGCATTCCCTTAAGGGGACAGCTCCCAATTCCTAACTATACCAGTTCCCCATTGACTATATACTGTCTGGACAGCACAGAAACAGTATGGACTCACAATAAGAAAGGAAATAAGGGAGAAAGCCACATCCTTTCCACATTGTATGATAGATTTAAGAATAACAGAATTGGAAGGGGTCTTGGAGGTCTTCTAGTCTAGGGTCTCCAACCTTAGCAACACTAAGATTTGTGGACTTCAATTCCAAGAATTCCTCAGTCAGCTTTGCTGGCTGAGGAATTCTGGGAGTTGAAGTCCACAAGTCTTACCACGGGTGAAGACCCCTGTTCTAGGCCAATCCCCTGCACAAGCAGGAGTCCCTATACCAGTGATGGCTAACCTTTTCAGCACTTGAGTGTACAAAGCGTAACCCGCGTACCTCCAGAATGCAATGTGCGTGCATCCCCATGCATGCGCCCTGCCCCCGTGCAACGCACCCCACTCGTGAATGTGTGTGCATCCTCATGCAAGTGCCCCACTCCCCCACGCATGCATGGCAGAAATCCAAAGATCAGCTAGCGAGCGGGAGGCGAATGCGCACATGCGCGGCAGAGCCGAGCTGGGGTGACGGCTCACGTGCCCACAGAGAGGGCTCTGCCTGCCACCTGTGGCACATGTGCAATAGGTTCACCATCCATTCCAGACAAGTCCAGTCTCTTCTCCAAAACCTCCAGTGACGGAGCACCCACAACTTCTGAAGGCAAGCTATTCCGTTGGTTGATTGTTCTCACTAACAGGAAATTTCTCCTTAGTTCTAGGTTGCTTCTCTCTCTGATTAGTTTCCATCATTAAACATTTACCAGTAAGGATTAAACAGAGACATTGTCTCTGTTTTAACATGCACAGTGAATCTATTATGGCAAGAATTAGGGAAGGATTGGAAGAGATGACCGTTTAAATCATATGGAGGTTGAAATGCTTCCAGTTTGAAATGTGCAGACACAATCACTTTGCTGGCTGAAAGCAGAGAAGGCTCAGAGGCTTAGAAGACCTTCTCTTACAAAAAGAGAAAATAACTGAGACAATTTCATCCACTGTACTTAGTGAACTTCAAATTGATGATGGTGAAGAAGGAAGGCCATTTTGATTTCTGTGGCTCAAATATACAGTAGATAAATCTAAACTGGAGAAACACAAAGAACACGCCTAGAGAGGAAGGAAATGGCAAATTTAGGCAGTAACGATGTGGCTAATCCTTGACTTACAGTCACAGTGGGGACCAGCATTTGCATTGCTAAGTGAGATGGTTGTTAAGTGAGTCTCACCCTATTTTATGCAGTTGTTAAATCACTGCACTTAATTAAACCACACAGTCATTAAACAAGTCCAACTTCACCCCTTGCCTTTGCTTATTAGAAGCTGGCTAGGAAGATCACAAATAGTGATCAAAGGACTTCGGGATGCTGCAGGTGTTATAAATATATTTCAGTTGCTAAGTGCTTGAATTTTGTTCATGTGACTGTGGGGATGTTGTGACAGCTTTAAATGTGAGGACTGGTCATAAATATATAGATATAGATATATGTTTTCTTAAGTTTTCGCGGGTATATATATATAGTTGTAACTTCAAACAGTCGCTAAATGAGTAGCCATAGATGTCAAACTCGATTTCATTGAGGGCCACATCAAGGTTGTGTTTGACCTGCGGGGGGAGCAGGGGGCATGGCCAGCTCAATGTCACTCATGTCGGGAGCACCTGTGGTGGCCAAGTGTTCTGCCAGTGAAAATGGGCTCCTGAGCTGTTTTCGGCTGCGATGGCCTCCTGGAACCCTCTGTGAAAACGGAGCTTGGGAGGGCCATTTTTACTGGCAGAGGCATCGCAGGCCGGTCCTTCACTGTTTCCAGGGAGGCCTGCTACCGGTTTGCCCAGGTTCAGGAAGACCCGTTGCTAACATTATGGCTGGTTCGGCGAACTGCCAAATACCACCCCTGGCTGGCCCCTCCCACCCTACCCCTCCCAGGAGTTTCCACACAGCCTGTTTTGGATGTGAGGTAAGTGCAGGGCCCGCATGGAGGCTGGGGGAGGGGGAAAAACAGGCCTTCCGGAAGCCCAGGGAAGGCCATTTTCACCATCCCAGAGGCTTGAGGAAAGCCTCTAGAGCAGTGGTGGCTATCCTTTCTCAGCTCCCTTGATGATAATTGTGCGCCCTCTCATGCGCTCATGCTCGCATGCCAGCACCCAGGAGGCAATGCATGCTGGCCCTCCCCACACCCCCTGCGCATGCGCACATGATTCCCCTGCTGCACGCCATGTGCCTGTGCATGCGAGCACCCCCTGCGTGCACTGTGCATCTTTGCGCATGCACGTGTGATCCCCCTGCATGCTGCGCATCTCTATAAATGCGTGCGTGACACCCCCCCACATGCTGCACCTATCTGTACATGCACACGCATCTCCTGTGCCCCCTGCCCCTCAGCACATACACACCAGATACCCGACAATCAGCTGTCGGGCGGCAGCGCATGTGCAGTGGGGCTCTTCCAGGCGAGCTCTCGCATGCCGGCAGAAGTGGCTCTGCGTGTCACTTCAGCATGCGTGCCATAGGTTCGCCAACATGGCTCTAGAGCCTGGGGAAGGCGAAAACACCCCGCCGTGGTGCAGGATGCTGACTAAGCCACGCCTACCATGGCCACACCCATCCAGCAACCAAGCAGAGAACCCGTTGCTGAAATTTTTGAAGCCCACCCCTGGCCGGATCTAAGTACCCCATGGGTCAGATCTGGCCCCCGAGCCTTGAGTTTGACACCCCTGTTATAAGTCAAGGGCTATCAGTGTATTCTAACCCAGGGGTCCCCAACCACCGGGCCCAGGACCGGTACCGGTCCGTGGAACATTTTCTACCGGGTCGCCGGTTTGCTGGGCGCCGCCATCTTGTTTCAATGAGAAAGTGCTTCCGGGTGAGCTTTTCCAGTTGGAAAGCGGTGTTTGGGTCCTGAAGGAATCCTCGCGCCTTAGTTTCATCGAAAGGGGAGGACGGCTTCGAACGAAACTAAGGCGCGAGGATTCTTTCAGGACCCAAGGCAAGGCGAGCCGAGCGACCGTCCCGAAGCCGTCCCGAAGCCCATCAACAAAGGTACAAAGGAGGAGTTGAAGGTGGCGGAGAGAAGCGGGGGACAGCTGGCTGGCCGGTCGCTCGGCTCGCCTTGCTATGCATGCTGATGCCGGTACCGGTCCGCGGATCATTTTGTGATGCCGGTACCGGGCCGCGGCACAAAAAAGGTTGGGGGCCACTGTTCTAACCTTTCCTCCAATTGTACTTACGAAGACCATTGGCAACTGTATCCTTGGGCTGTCACATTTTTCTTGGTTTTATTTGACAGTTGCCTTGACAAAATTCTAGTACATAAATACTCTAAGCCAGGGATCCCCAACCTTTTCGACGCCGCGGCCCGGTTCCGGCATCAGCTGGGCGCCGCGGCCCGGTACCGGCGTCAACTGGGCGCCGCCATCTTTTTTGACGAAAAAGCGCTTCCGGTGAGCTTTCTACCCGGAAAAGCTCACCGGAAGCGCTTTTTTACCAAAAAAAGATGGCGGCGCCCAGCAACCAGCGGCCCGGTAAGGCTTGTTCCGCGGCCCGGTACCGGTCCGCGGCCCGGCGGTTGGGGACCCCTGCTCTAAGCATCTAAATAAAATTCATAATAAGCTGATATTTGAGAGAAGACAAAAGCAGCATTCAGTCTGAGATAGTTTCGAATAGCTGTCAGCTGAGTCCTGGGAAAGGTTTGTTCTGGAAGATGGCATGAAATTATTTCATTTTATATTCAGGCAGATACGATACATCTAAGAAACAAAAATAAGATATGTAATAGAGAATATAGTGTAATTAGGAATAGGCTGTCCCATCCCCATGAAAAATGAAGATCAATTAACTGATCTAACCAGTTTGGGTTATGCAATATATTTACTTGAATCCATATATATATATATATAAAAACGAAATGCCACTCACACATCATCACAAAATCTCCAGAACCATAAAGCCCACAAACTTGAAATTTGGCACAGTTGGTTTCTAGGTGCTCACTAAGAAAGGATTTTTCAAAATGACAGTCAGAGCATTAATATTTCGTATATTATTATTAACACGCTCTGATGCTAAGGAGTTCTACTCCCCCTCCCCACCTTCAAAACACAAGCAGAGGAGAGGAGTTTCAGTTTTAGTTTCACAGCACCAAGCAGCTTTAGTACAGAATTAGCAATGACTTTTAAGAGGCCATGGCTTTGATAAATGAGTTCAAAAAGTCCTTGAGATTCCCATCATTTTGTGATTTGTTTAAATTTGGAGGCATTGTAATCCAGGAAAAAGGTCTGATGAAGATAACAGAGCTTAAGTAGTTGGTTGGTTGATAAGTAAGATGTTAGGGATTGGGACTCATATATGGTCTGAACAAGGAGTTTCTTCACCATTTCAACCCATCTTCAGTGTCACTCTTTCAAGGACATTCCAGCCATCTCTTTTCCTCTATCCTTTTTTTCCCTCCCCAGCCTTTGACAAGAACAGCAATATTTCTAGTCCTTCATCTACTCACATCATACCCACAAAGTATATGAATTTCAGCTTCCTGATCATTGTCTTTACGACAACGATCTTTATTTCATCCAGGAATAATGGATTCCTACTATCATTTGTCTCTCTGTCTCTCTGTCTCTCTCTGTGAACATTTGTGAACATACAGCAGGTGTGCATACACACATGTTTATAAATATACTAGTTGGGTAACCGTGCTTCGCTATGAAACTGTGATCGGGCTTAGTTTTTTGGGAAGAAAATAAGGAGAGAAAAAATCCTGCCTTTGCCTACCAGTATCCATCGGTATTCATCTGGCCAGCATCTTGTCAGTGTGTGAGAGAGTTAAGGGAGAGAGTTAAGGGTTAGTATTTGCTGTGTGAGCAAGGAGACAGCAAGGAGCCTGGGCGTGGCTTAGCTCAGCTAAGTTGCTGGACCCCTTGGTCAGAAACTCCCTAATGAGTTTTCAAGATTAAGAGAAGACCATAAATCAAGGGTCTTCAAAACTTGACAGCTTTAAGACTTTTGGACTTCAACTCCCAGAATTCCTGAGCTAACATGACTGGAGGAGGAATTCTGGGAGTTGAAGTCCACAAGTCTTAAAGCTGTCAAGTTTGAAGACCCCTGCCATAAATGAGGGAGGGATCTTCAAAATGAGGGAGGAGAGGGAAGGATCAGAAAGGGTTTCCCTACTTTTCCAGGTTTTTATTCCTGCCTGCCTCTAACCTGTCTTCTTTTGAGGAACAGTCTCAACATACAATAGTTGCTAGGATACAGGTGGTTGCTGAGGAAATGACGTTTCAGGGAGAAAGAAGGGAGGAAGGTGGAGTGAAATTAGAGAACGTAAGGGAGCCAGAAGCTAAATTGCACCCCCATGTCTTGCCACGGCGGTCTTCTCCATCCTGCGCTGAGAGTGGGGACCGAGGAAGAAGCCTAAAAGAAAGGAGGTGTGACGGTAAATCTTAGTGGTGGACGGATGGTGGGATTTAGGGTTGATCAGACTTTCACACATTCAGTACTATAGGTGTAGGAGTGACCTGTTGGAAAAGCACGTGCAAGGCAAGTGAATAGATAGAGGATGAATGGGGACTGTCTTTTACTGGGTGTGTAAAATGTCTGTGTGTATGATAGAGAAGATAAGCTAAAAACTAGCTACTAAATACCAATATTATGAAGCCATTGGTGTTGAAGGAGGATCTTTTGGGAAGGTTTTTTGGTTGCCTGGGAGAAACTGCAGCAAATGTTAACAGATCCCACAGAAACAAATGCTTGAATAAAATGGAGAAGACAAGTAGGGGACTCCATAAAAACTATATTTCTTTATCATTGCTAGGGTATTTTTTTTTCCTTTTTATAATGTATTCGGAGGCTTAATCATCTTTGTTTTTCTTCACAACAATTGTTATGATTTAAGCTGCTGTTATTCCTGTTTTACAGGCATGGACCAAACGACAAGCATTGTTTCCTAGTTTTGAGATCACACAGTGAAACTTGATGGTGTTTGTGGTGGGGAAAAGCAACTGGGTTTGCATCCACCCTTCTAGCCAACAAATTACTTTGGTTTGATTCTCACAGTACACAGATTTATAATGTTGTTTGGTTCTGGTATAATGTTGTGTAAATGCAACTTGGGCAATCCATGAACCATGTTTTCTGGCTTCGTATGTTTTACAACTCCAGTTGGTTTATTCCACAAACCATGGTTTAGGTAGTTTGATACAAAGGGTCACTGAGTCACAGAAGGATTATGGCTGTTGCAGGGAATACAATATCTGTCAACTTCTATATGTTAATTCCTGACAGTGAGAACAATTAATCAGTGAAACAATTTGCCTCCAAAAATGGTGTAGGATCTCCTGCTTGAGCAGGGAGTTGGACTAGAAGACCTCCAAGGTCCCTTCCAGCTTATTCTGTATTCTAAGATGTATTCTGTAATTTTTAGAGCAGGGGTCTCAAACTCAATTTACCTGGGGGCCGCTGGAGGCAGAGTCTGGGTGAGGCTGGGCCGCATAAGGGATATTATGAGAGTCTGGGTGAGGGATATTATACTTTCATATCACGGTGGGGGCCACAGGATATCGTCCTGCGGGCCGCAATCGGGCCGCGAGAATGAGACCTCTGCTTTAGAGAGAACTAACTTAGAACTAAGGAGACATTTCCTGACAGAACAATTAATCAGTGGAACAACTTGCCTCAAGAAATTGTGGATGCTCCAACACTGGAGGTTTTTAGGAAGAGACTGGACAGCCCTTTGACTGAAATGGTATAAGGGGCAGTGGCGGCTAACCTTTTTGGGCTCCTGTGCCAAAAATTGTGCGTGCGCTTGCACACTTGCACTTGCGTGCCAGCACTCAGAAGGCAATGCAGCCCCCCCCCCGCTCCCTACCCACCCACCCCTGCCGCCCCCTTACCTGCACTGCGCCTCACAGCTGATTTTTGGCTGGTTTGAGGCCTTTTTTGGCCTCCCGAAAGCTTGAGGAAGCCTTCTGCAGGCTTTGCAGGGCGAAAACTAGCCCCTGTTTTTTTTAGAAAAACAGGAAGTGACGACATGGGGCTAGTTTTCGGCCTGCAAAGCCTGTAGAAGCCTGCAGAAGCCTTCCTCAAGCCTTTGGGAAGCCGAAAAAGGCCTCAAACCAGCCAAAAAACAGCTGTGAGGCACACACATGCCCAGTGAAGTGAGTTTGCCTGCAGCTCGTGTGCCGGCACAAATGGCTCTGCCATAGGTTTGCCATCACAGCTATAGGGTCTCCTGCTTGAGCAGAGGGGGTTGGACTAAAAGACCTCCAAGGTCCCTTCCACCTCTGTTATTCTCTCCAAGGTCTTCTTAGCAATTCAACATTAGAATAACTCCCATTCTCTCTCTTGATGGGATCCAGGACTTTCTCATCACTGGACGTGGAACCTCAGGGTGGAGGAGAAAGGGATGGCAAGCTCAGAGAAAGCTTTTCTGAAGAGCCAGACTGCTGGAGAACGGGAAACAGGCAAGAAGCCGGACCGGAGAACCCCCATCTGTGACAAAAACATCCAAGACGCTTCCCTTGGGGATGAAAAGAAGGATCTTGGAGACAAGGTAAAAGAGAACCAACCGCTTCCCATCCAGTCCCAGCCAGGTGTATGCTGGCCTTGCCCAGAGGGCACCTTTGTCAAGCTGATCCTCAAGGCCGGGACAGGTTTAGATAAACCGAAGGAAGGGTCCTTCTGCCAAGTCTTCATCGAGGCCAGTCATGAAGGGCCCTTGAGCTACCCGTCCTCCAGGTGGGCCGAAGTGGAGCTGGGCGGGGGCGACGCCGAATGGGACGGTGTGGTGGACCGTGGTTTGGAAACCATGCTGGCAGGGGAGCGGGCTGAGCTGAGGTTGTCAGAGGGCGGCACCATCACTGTCCAGTTGGCGAGCTTCACGGAGGCCAAAGACTCCTGGGAGATGAGCGCAAGCGAGAAGTGGGACTTGGTCCTCAGCAATAAAGAGCGCGGCAGTGAGCTTTACAGGGCGGGAGCCATTGCCGCGGCTGCCAGGCGCTACGCTCGGGCCTTACGCTTGCTCGTGGTGGCTGCTCCTCCCCCGGATTATGACCAGATCAAGGCCGAGCTTCACACCAACTTGGCCGCCTGTCAGCTACGGTTGCACCAGCCGGCCAACGCCGCTCAAAACTGCTCCAAGACTCTTATGCTCCAGCCGGCCAACCCCAAGGCTTTGTTTCGACGCGGCTTGGCCTACGATGCAATGAACGACTTGGAGGGGGCAGCGCAAGACCTCAAAGGAGTTTTGCAAGTGGAGCCAGGAAACCGAGCAGCTCGCCGGGAATTAGACAGGGTTACCGAGAGGATCCGAGCCCGGGATGCTAGACTGGCTCAAGCCATGCAGAAAATGTTTGCTTGAATAAAACCATTTTGACCATGTCAGCATCAAGGTGGGGTGGGGCGGTGGGGCTGCATTTTCGTTGTGATTAGGTGAGCAACAGGAAAGAGGATCTGGTGCTTGACACTATGAGCCGTGAGGGTGCAGTGGTTGGAAATGCAACATTGCAGGCTAACTCTGCTGACTGCCAGGAGTTCGATCCTGACCTGCTCAAGGTGGACGCAGCTTTCCATCCTTCTGAGGTCGGTAAAATGAGGACCCAGATTGTTTGGGGCAATATGCCTGACTCTGTAAATCCATCAGAGAAGGCTGTAAAGCACTACGAAGTGGTATATATGTCTTAAGTGCTGTTGCTATGAAGTTTAATGGCTGGGCAAGATGATACTTTGGTGTTTTTGCCCCAAATCGAACACGGTTTGCTTTTATCACTCTGATTTCCTTACCTACAGAAAAAAATAAGACTGGATACAGGTAGTCCTTGACTTATGACCACAACGGAGCCCAATATTTATGTCGCTAAGTGAAACATAAGTAAGTTTTACCCCACTTTACGACATTTGTTGCCAAGTGAATCATTGCAATTCTTACTGACACGGTTGTTAAGCGAATCTGCCTTCTCTATTGATTTTGGCCGCAAAAGCTGATCACTTGACCCCAAGATAATGCAGCTGTCATAACCATGAAGCAGTTGCCGAGCACCTGAATTTTGATCAGGTGACCATGGGGATGCCCGCAACGGTTGTAAGTGTGAGAAACAGTCATCTCTTTTTTTCACTGGTGTTATAACTTTGGACGGTCACTAAATGAAATGTTACAAGTCGAAAACTACCTGTATGTCACAGGATATCACACACAGGCTTGCTACATCAGTATGAAAATTGGCCCTTGGCGTTCCAGTTCCTCTCATTTTATTTATTTATTTATTTTTAAATTTATCAACTTTATTGAATACAAAAAATTAAAATATACAAATATACAGACTCAAAAAACAAAGATTCATACAGACAAATGTTACCATAATCTCTGGTAAAACTAAACTTTCCTTTAATACATTTGACAGTGAGTTAAATATTTCCTAAATTATAACATGTGGCAGTTATTTCTTACTTCCTATGGGTTCTCTGTTATTTATGTTCTATCAAACATAATGTTCTGTTGTTAATATTTGTTGTTGGATTATACTTATTTATTTTTACCAATGAATTCCTTCTATTGATTGTTTAAAGTACGAGAGAGTATAAGACTGACATTAACAATTCCTGTTTATTATTGTATCTTAATCTGTTTTATAAGTTTATTTTCCCCCCTTGATTCCCATTTTCATTTTTTTTTACATTCTAGTCAATCATACCACTTATTCCAGGTCGAGTAAAATTCCGCCTCCTCTTTTCCTTTTAATTTTAGTGTGAGTTTTTCCATTTCTGCACATCCACAAATTTTTTGAATAATAAATTGTATTGGTGGTAAATTAGGCGATTTCCAAAATTGAGCCAGTGAGATACGTGCCGCTGTTAGGATATGGCTAATCAAATATTTTACTTTGGAGGGATAACCTTCCTTAATGCTACCCAGAAGATACAATCTAGGTTCCCACTCCAATTCACCCTGGACAATTTCTTCTAACCAAGTTTTGATTCTAATCCAAAAAATTTTGACCACTGGGCATGTCCACCAGAGATGGAAGTAGGTACCATGGTTCCCTTTGCATTTCCAACAAGTTGGATTGGATGTTGGATATATTTTTGCTAATCTGGAGGGTGCTAGATGCCATCTATATATCATTTTATATACGTTCTCTTTATAAGACACAGATTTAGTTATTTTAAGATTTCTCTGCCAGATTTCTTCCCAGTCTTCTAAGTCTATATTATGGCCGAAATTTCTTGCCCACGCTATCATTGGTCCTTTCACAATTTCCTCTGCTAATTCATATTCCAATAGATAATTATATAATTTAGATATCATATTTTTGTCTGGGCCCAAAACTATCTTATCAAATTTAGCACTCTTTGATTCTATTCCAAATTCTTTTAAATCTTTCTCATATCTTATTGCTGTTTGGAAATAGGACCAACGATCAATCATTATTTTTTGGGTCGATTTGAGCTTTCCTTCTTTGTCTAAAATTTGGTAATATTTGAGCTTTTTACTGATGTCCATTGTATTAGGGTGGAACATTGCCTCCATTGTTGACAACCATAACGGAACTTTAATATAATGATTTTTCCTAATATCAGACCAGGGTTTTATCAAAGATTTGCATAGAGTATGTCTCTGGAAGTATGAGTGACTTTTACTACCCGGGTTCCACAAAAAGGCATGCCACCCTATTTGTAAGTCATATCCTTCTAATGTTAGAATTCTTTTGTTATCCAATTTAATCCAATCCTTTATCTACGTTAATATTGCTGCTTTATAATAGGTCTCCCAGACAGGGAGACCAAAGCTGCCTCTGCTTTTATTATTTTGTAAATAAATTTTCTTAATTCTTGATTTCTTGCCTGCCCATATGAATTTCATAGTAATTTTATCCAATTCTTTGAAAAATGATTTATCCAATAATATAGGAATCGTTTGGAATAAATAAAGCAGTTTGGGTAGAAGATTCATTTTAATTGTGGCAATTCTGCCTAATAAAGAAATCTGCATTTTGCTCCATATCCCCAAATCTCTTTCTACTGTGATGGAGCAAAGTCAAAATCTCCCACCCTTCTTGCTATTATTATTATTATAGTTTTTTCCAGTTCTCTCTTTGCTCTTTTAAGGCTTTCACATGCCCAGTGATCGCTTTAAATCCATAACATATCCCTTTTTGGCTGTTTCTAAGCAACCATCTCCTAAGAGACTGCAGAATTTGGGGATGGTAAGCCAGTGGAGGGGAAGGAGGTGGGAAACAGTTGACCGGGGTGAGAGAAAGGATATTGAACCTTCCGCTTGTAAACACAATTACATCGGATGCCGGGGAATCAATCAAAAGTCTTTATTAACAGAGATTCTGTAACCATGTCACTTGCAAACAGAGATAAGAGTATAGAGTCCAACATCCAGAGGAGTGGTGGAGGGGGGGAAAGGGGAATGAATGAGAAGTTCTTATGACCACATGAGATTTGGCACAGATTGGAGATGACAGGAGGCCTTAAAAATACAAAATAATGCCAACTTTTTCTGTATTGAAGCCTCCCCAATGCCTGAAGTGCACCATTAAACCAGCCAACCAATTTTGGCCGATGGCAACTTAGAAACGATCAACTTATCAGCCAGAATGAGGCGTGGTGTCAAAGTCTCAATTGTCTCATGTCCATTTGTTAAATCAAGGGAGCTCTTTCTGTAAATTGTTCTCCCCTGTTTATATCAAACTATTTGCATGTAATAAACCAGCACCTCAAAAGGAACAGTATTGGTCTCGTCTTCTGTGCTAATTTACTACCTGCGGGGGGTCATTCATAGAAAAAGAAAGTATTCAAAAATATCCTACATTCACTTCCAGACAGAAATAAGGTAAGATTCTGCCACCATTTCTAATGGCGTCATATAGAACGTCTTCAAGAATCAATTTGCATGTCCCAAAAGTGGTGGATTACAGACCATTGTTTGATTACAGACTGTAGATGTGGGTTGCAATTTTGAGTATTTTTTTTCCCAAATCTTCCCTGAAAAATTAGTTGGTAGCAATAGCCGGAATAGCTCATTCCTTCTCTTGGCTTACTACAGGGAATCCTCACATTATGACCGTAATAGACCCTACTCATCATGGCCACAAAGCAGATCGGTCACCCGACCAACCCAATTTTATGAACTTTTTTTGGTAAGCCATAAGTTGAGGATTATCTGTATTAGGCTGTTCTGTGGATCACTTTTTTTTTTTTTTTTAAAGTAAGCCTGAGGTAGGTTAGGGTAATAGATGATCAGACAAGTAAGTGTGGCAAGCCAAATAAGGCTCTAAATTTTGTCTGAATCCAGTTGTCTAATGTGCTACCTTAGTGCTACTTGATGGTTAAGATTTAAAGCCGGGGAACAAAAAATATATTATTCCCACTTCTTTTGATCTGTAAGAGTGTAGTCCATCCTATTGTCTCACCACCATGTTCAGGCTAGACTTTACTCTTTTATTTAGTAATATGATGCTGTAATAGCATCTTCTCTGGAACCCTTTGCCAGATTTTCTTCTAGGTTGGACCTTACCTGGTCCTGGAATTGGACCCCTCCTCCATTGACGGACACTTGGATCTTTTTGCTCCATCTTTCCTCCTCCTGTTACTTTTCATCTCCTCACCCCTTCTGTCTTCTCAATTGGCTAGATCTTGCTATGTTTTCTGACACTATTATGCTGGCTACTATCGAAGCATTGATACTATCCAGGAATTGCCTAGCAGTTCTTCTCACGCCCTTTGACCCATCTTGCTTGCTTTCATGGTTGGAAGTTTACTGTAATATGCCTTGCCTCATTGACCCTGGATATCAGCCAGTAGCCAAAGAGTTGGCTCGTTGAGTAGAAGTCACCGAAAGGCGACAAAAATCTCTAAGCCCCTCTTGTTAAGAAGATATTAAGATAATGTTAAAACATGGATTGAAGAGCTTGGAGCCAGATGGGAAGAAATCAAACTTAAGTACAGAGGTTTTTTTTTTAAAAAAAATAATAACTTTCACAGTCTTCTCCAAGGAAGAAATGTTAGAATGGCGGTGCAAAATGAAAGGTATAAAAAGAAGGATGCTTAAGCCCTGAAAAATAGAACTTAAAAAAAAACAAAAAAAAACAGGCTGTGGATTATACCTTGCATGCAACATCGCTAAACAGCGTATGAAAATATATGCCCTCCCTAGTTACAGATGGTGATTTGTTTCCCTTGGCTTGAAAGCAACAGTTTCCTTTCTCGCCTCAGATAAAACAGGATAAAGACAGCCAATCGGGCTCTCCGAATACTGGGTGCCTCTAGCTATTGCAAAAAATGGAGGGAGGGAAGCAGCCGATGGAAAGAACGGTGGGGGCACAAGAGACAGGGCTTTAACCAGGACTGCACTGGCGTCCCGGTCCACACAAGGGCGGCACTAGGCATGCAAACACAGCGGGAGGAAGATGGTTATTTCTTGGTCACAGAAGGCGAAGCCTACTCCTCAGGAAGGAAGGAAGCAAGCAACGTATTCTGGGAAAGGAACGGGCGGAGGACAAGTAATTTCGCTAGGAGCCTTAGCTTATGGAGCATGTCTGAATGGCGTCACCTGGAAGTCATTTTGCTGAGTCGGTACGGCTAGCAAGGCCAACAACAGCCAAGGACGATGGGAGTGGGCGGAGAAGGGTTGCCAAGCATTCCGAGTGTCGTCGGCAAGGGAGAAGACAGGGGAGAAGGAGGGGAAGTAGTTGCCAAGGACCATCCCCTGGGTGTGTGTGTGGGGGGAGTGGCTATTGCCAGGGCGGTTGTGACCAGTTGCCAGGGTGCAGGAGTAGGCCGAAGAGAGGCGCTTAGTCGCTAGGGGTCCCAGTCGTTGTCATGATGCTGAGCGGCAATGATGATCACCACGGTAAGGATGGTGCACAGGACCATGGCGGCGATGCCCACTGCCAGGCTGATGAAGGAGAAGTTGCGGGCCTCCCGGGAGGCAATTTCGGCCGATACGATGTCGCCGCGGGCAACTGCAGTCCGCACCTGACGGGAGAGAACAAAGAGTGCGGGTACAGGAGGAGAACATAGGCGCTGCAGCTGCAAAGTACGTGGAGCGCATGGCACGATACAGGCCTCCCCGTTCAGTGTTCTGTTAGCACGCTCTTCGACAAAGGGGAAAAGCTGGAGTGTAAGGGATGAAAGAATCGTTTATAGACTGCAGGGGTGAGGGAGAAAATGGCTCTTCTATGCCTTCCTCTTAAGCAGAGGTCTCCAAACCTGGCAACTTTAAGACTTGTGGACTTCAACTTCCAGAATTCTCCAGCCAGCTATGCTGGACCTCTTGGTCAAAAGCTCCCTAATGAGTTTTCAGGATCAAGAAAAGACCATAAATCAAGGGTCTTCAAACTTGGTAAGTTTAAGACTTGTGGACCTCAATTCCCAGAATTCCTGAGCTAACATGACCGGAGGAGGAATTCTGGGAGTTGAAGTCCACCAGTCTTGCCAAGTTTAGGGATCCAAACTCTTAAGCGTCAATCCCCCCTCCTTACTTACAGAAATTAATTTGTTTTATTTTACTTATTGTTTATTTTTATAAGTAACTCAAGGCAGCAAACACGCCCTATACTTCTTCCTCCTCCTATTTTCCCCACACAACAACAAACCTATGAGTTGGGTTGGGCTGAGAGAGGATGACGGGGCCCAAAGTCACCCAGCTGGCTTTCACGCCTAAATAACAGGACTAGAACTCACAATTTCCCGGTTCTAGTCCCGATGCCTTAACCCACTAGAGAGCAAACTGGTCTGTTAATCTCAATTAGTCACATGAATGAATCTTCTACTCCGGAAATTCTTGCTGCCGTTTTAGTTTCCCTTATGGAAGCTTGTGAGGGAAGAGGACAGACAGTTTCCTGACTATTTAGCTACTGGACATACGTTCCTCTTTTCTTCACTTTAGCAGCATACAGGTAGCCCTCGATTTATGACCCCAACCGAGCCCAAAATTTGTGTCACTAAGTGAGACAGTTATGAAGGGAGTTTTGTCCCCATTTTATGACCTTCCTTGCCACAGTTGTTAAGTGAATCTTGCAGCTTGAGAGACTTTTAAGAAGAGATTGGACTGCCATTTGTCAGAAATGGTGTAGGGTCTCCCGCTTGGGCAGGGGGTTGGACTAGATGACCTACAAAGTCCCTTCCGACTCTGATTATCTGTTATCTGTGAGGGGAATGCAACACTTCAGATGGAGGTGGGCACAATATGGCCTTCCCCTGTGACAAAATGGTTGCCTGGCTCCTCAGAAACCTGGATTATTTTCAGAACGAAGTCGCTTGACTCCACAAAATGTGTACAGTACTGTACATGTGTGGGAGGTGAGGACTGCCAGCCAGGCGTGAACAGGGAGTGCACGCGGCATATGTTCAATCAATTTCCTTTTTCTGTGGTGCACATTCTTGCCATTTCATGACGTTTCTAGATCTGGAAAGGGGGCTCCCTACTCCAGAAGGATTTCCTTCAACACTTTGGTACTTTAAAGGTGCTTGGCAACAAAGATGCTTGGGATTCCAGTGAAGCTGCAGTACAGTATTATTTAGGTTGTAGTCCTGCTCACTAACCACCATCACAGGCAGCTACGGGACCAAAACCTCCCTCCAGATCAGTGTTTCTCAACCTTAGCCACATTATGAGGCGTGGACTTCAACTCCCAGAATTCCCTAGTCAGTACGCTGGCTGAGGGATTCTGGGAGCTGAAGTCCATGCATCATAATGTGGCTAAGGTTGAAAAAACAGCAGTCCAGATACTTGCAATGTAGAACATTCTGTAAAGCAGCAGTGAGAAACCTGATCAAAGTCATATCTGGTTTCCATCCCTCTTTTTGGGGTCACCTAGAGCTTGTGGTGGCTGTAGGTGGCTAAGTAGGTAGTTAAGTAAGTAGGCTAAGTAAGTAGGTGGCTCAGTGGCTAAGATGCTGAGCTTGTCGATCAGAAAGGTCAGCAGTTCGGCAGTTCAAATCCCATTACTTCTCCCAGCTTCTGTCAACCTAGCAGTTCAAAATCATGTAAAAAATGCAAGTAACAAAATAGGGACCACTTTGGTGGGAAGGTAACAGCATTCCGTGCACCTTCGGCGTTTAGTCATGCCGGCCACATGACCATGGAGACGGCTTCGGATAGCGCTGGCTCTTTGGCTTTGTAACGGAGATGAGCACCGCCCCCTAGAGCCAGTAACGACTAGCACATATGTGCAAGAGGAACCTTTATCTTTAGAACAGGGGTCGCCAACCTTTTGGACCTCAGGAACCACCAAACTCATAATTTTAAATCTCAGGGACCACTAACCAGTTCTGTGGGCATGACCTAATTTGTGGGTGTGGCTTGGTTGGGCATGGCTTGTATGTAAATATAAAAATATTGATATTTTTTTTTTATAAAAAAGAGCAACTTTTAACCTAAATCAGACAAAGCAGGCAGGCAGATTGAGTTGCTCACAGAATCACGGATTTATTCCGATATCTATCTATCTGCCATCGGCTAGCTCAGTCTGTTACATAAAATTTGCTTGGAAGCAAACTCACAAAATTAACTCACAACACACCATGTATGTAAATATTGAATTTTTTATATAAAAAAGAGCCATTTTTACTCCAAAGCAGGCAAAGCAGGCAGGCAGATTGAGTTGCTCACAAAATCATTCGGTGATCTATCTGCCATCAACTAGCTCAGTCTGTCACATAAAATTTGCTTGCCGTGAGTCTGCACTGAATAATAGAACCTCCAGTCCTAAGGGAGACTCGGCTGTGCTTAAAAGCAGAGCTGAAGACCTAAA